CATGGCACATCCCGGGGCTGCAGGCTCGATGCCCAGTAGGGGGGAGTGCAGGAGGCAGCCAATCAATGACTTTTTCATCATTGATGTTTCTATCTCTCTCTCCCTCTCTCTTCCTCTCTCTGAAATCAATCAATCAATCTATCTATCTATCTATCATCTATCTATCTATCTATCTATCTATCTATCTATCTATCTATCTATCTATCTGTCTGTCTGTCTATCTGTCTATCTGTCTATCTATCTATCTATCTAAAGAGTCACTTCTCCCCTGCAAGGGTAACCACTATCCCGACTTCTAAAAGCATAAATTTTAATCCCTGACTTTAAAAAGGATGATAAATGCCATATTTAAATGTGAATATATCTTTATTTAAAAGAGAAAGATTTAAAATAATTGATGTTTCTGGATATCAATTTTTCATTTAAGGGTTTGGACTGGAGATCTAAGTTTCTTTCCTGTCCTAAAATTATATGAATCTATTTAAACATTAATGGTCTCTCCCACTTTACTTCTTATACTACAGCGCCCTCTGATGGTGAAACATTGATGATGTAAAATTTATGTGCGTCATAATCACAGCAGCACTTTATCTCTAATATGAGAGCTTAAGCTGTGACCAGGTAATTCTAGTGGCACAAACTTCCTGGCTAGCCAAAGAGGGGCTAGTGAGGGGGGATGAAGGACATCTATAATACTGTCAACAATAATATATATATATTATTTAAATAAATAAATAAATAAATTAGAATGTAGTGGATGTCTAATGTAAATGAAAAAGAATTGTATTTGACTTTAATTTATTAGTTATATTACTTTGGGAAGGTTATCAGACTTCTTTGAGCTTCAGCTCTCTTATTGTAATACTGGCCTAAGGAAAGTGCCACCAGAAAGTGATTGGGAGAATGATGAAGTGATCTGTGGAAATCACCAGCATGGTGCCAGGCACATAGTAGGTACTCTGTCTCCCCTGCCACCCACTGCTCCCAAATTGCCACCCAAACTGTGTCTACCAGATGTAATGTCCTCACAGGCTTTTCTGGATGTGAACTTTTTGAGTTTTAAAGTCCAAATAGTTATTTTTGTCACAATAAACTTTAAAGAATGTTCTTTTTGTATCTTGCTTACCCATCTCACGGATCTCTTTCTCCTCTATAAGGAGAAGGGGAGAAGCATTTCTTGAAATTTCTTAGACTACATAAACCAAATTATAAAAATAATTAAAAGTTCCAGCTCTGCTTATGACTTGTGACCAAGTCACTTGACCTTTGAGCCCAGTTTCCTCAGCTGAGCAACACAGATCAAATGGTTTCTAAGGCCCTTGTCCCTTTTCATGTGATTTATAAAACTATTCAGGAGCAGAGCTGGAAGTGGCATGTAGGTCCCAGTTCTCATCAGCAGAGGGCACAATGCCCCTAGTGTGCAAAGCCATTAGGTATTGGAAACTACACTTACGTAGCTGGAAGTTTATATACTTGGTGATAGGAAGGAGCCAAGAAAATTCTGTAAATTCATGTTTTTCAAAGGATATTTCATTGCCTGTTTCTAGCAGTTTAATATTTAAATGAAGCACTAAAAACAATAGACTTTGACATTCTAAGGGTATTTCCTGTTCTGTGAAGAGCTTCATTATCTCTCCACCTCACTTACCCCATCTAAGAACTCCATGCTTAGGATTGGTGTGCAAATGGGATGGAGAGAACTAACATTTATAGAGGATTAATTACATAATAAGAATTATACGTGGTACTTTAGATACATTTTCTCTAATCTTTACAGCAATCCTTTGGATTATGTGTTATTTATCCTTATTTTATACAGGAAGACACCAGGGCTCAGTGGTTAAATGATTTGCCTGAGGCCTCACAGTAGAGGTTCAAGTTCAGGTCTGTTAACTCCCAAACCTGCTTTCTACCATACCAGGTTTCCTATCCTTTTCCCCAGCCTAAACAATTAGGGATGTTTGCTCGGAGCAGGAGTGCTCTAAGAGTGGCCGCAGAAGGAAGTGTGACTTCTCTGGTTCTGTAGTTCTTGTGGCCCTTGTTTTTCTAGACGTAAGCCTTTCCTCTGGCAAGAATTTTTTTGCCATTTACATTTAACATGATATATACAAACACATACTGGTGTTTTTAAATTTGAAACCTGGATTATTGAATTGTGTGGACTGCTTTTAAGGATATAGCCATACCTCATTTTACAAGAAGGCTAGGTTCTAAAGTCAGTGGGTAAGATGAAAATCACTATGGCAAAATTATCTTTGAAAACCCCACAGGAAGGCATCTTATTAGAGAGCCATGCATTTTTCTTTAAATCCAGCACAGCCAGTCTTTCTTCCCTTGTTGAAAAGATCATGACTTTTCCCATTGAGCTTTTAAATGATGCATGTGGCTTGTATTTGGGGGCAGTGTTGTGTGGTAATTCACATCTTCAAACACCAGAGTCTCATTCAGGATTGTGAGATGCTTACAGTATGAGAGAAATATTCTAAAAACTAGATGGAGAAAAGGAATAGTGGATTCCACACACACACTTCCCGTTCATGTCGCAGGTCTCAAAATGTAAGTTTCTCAAAACTGCACCTAACTGCATACTTCTCAATCATAGGGGTGCATGTTTTTTTTTTTCAAATTAAAAGCCCTCTTTTAATGCAATTGCCTTGCCATTGTCTTGTAAAATGTCCCACCTTTGGATTCGTCTGATTGCTTCTTGTAATGCTAGACACTACCCCAAATGTAGTGGCCACTCAGGGCCAGGGAGGTTCACTCTAGATCCTGGGACAGTCCGCCAAAAAGGGTGGAGCCGAAGGAGGATGAGACATTTACTTTATTTAGCGGACGGCCAGGCTGATGTACAGAGAAGCAAACTGTCTTTCGGGTGGTGGCCAGCTGGGCATACACACACAGGGAGCGCACTACACCCCGAGGGACAGACCCACCCAGGGGAACAAACCGCCCCTCGGGCGAGCAATCTGCAAACCCGCGGGAACAATCCGCCTTCTGGTGGCAGCCAGCTGGGCATACACGGGACAAACCACAAACCCTGGGACGACAACCTGCCAACCGTCAAACCCGCCTCTGAATGCCCTGGGCCAGTCTTACAGGAACCAGGACAACAGTAACTCTCAGCCAACGTGGGCCAGACATTAGTCAGCTGACAGGGCCTCTGCTGTGACTCTGCTATATCATGTTTACATAACTGCAGTCTGCCTCGAGAAGGTGGCGAGAAAGCCTAAGAGTTTTCTCTAACCCTGCACCTCTTCCCAGTGTCTTCAGCTTCTTCTACCCTGTGTATTTCCTGGAAACTGGAAATTAGATCTAAAGCCTGGACTAAGATGCAGTTGAACATTTTTGTCAAGAATTCATCATAGGTGGTTCATTCATGCTTCCTGCTGCACCATGTGAAGAGATGCCTAACCCCTGCCTGCCTACCTCACTGTTAGTGACGCTCTCCCACTGATCACTAGGTTAAGGTGATGGCAGCCTGATCCCCTATTGTGAAGTTGCATTTTCCCTTTGTGAAAAGAGTGTTCTCTATGATACTATTTTGGCACAAATATGAACGTTCATTTTTCTATCATCCACTCTGCTGATGCTTTTAACACCATTTGGTAATTTTTGCCTGAATCAATTGTTAACTTCATTAGGTTTACAAAACTATCACTTTTCCAGTTCTGTCATTGATTCTGCAATAGCTGACATTTGATTAAACAGAGTTCTTTTGCATCAACTGGAACTATTTGGTACCTTGAAAAATAATTCTGTGGAAAAGGCAGGTTAAATGTTGAGTTATTTACTCTTTTTTATTCCCAATTTCAAAGGAGTTGGTTTAATAGACACCTTAAGTGGTAGCAAATGAATGTTTTTCTTGCTTTCTCTTTTTTGATATCCTTATGGACTAATGGATTTTCATGAATTGAATATTTTAATCAACTACAATTATTCTTTTTACATTCAATTTGTTTTATATTCAATTTGTTAAAACTTTACCCAGTGATAATCTCTTGTAGCTGGTTTCTATGTCTGTTAGACATGACTCCATTAATTTTTGGGCACTTCCTTGCTTCCTTGAATAGCAAGATGCTTAGCTCTATCTAGTAGATTCCTTGGCCCAAATGTCAGTCAGGCAAGTCACTAACAAGCCCTAGTTCCTTTTAGTGGGGAATGGTATTAGACATCAGAATCCTGGCCCTTGAAATGTCAGGTGTTACTGGGGTGACAACATTTATAAACCTTTTCAGTGGTCTGTTTAGTTTTTGAATTTTGATATTGAAAGTTTGGATAATGAAAATTCAGATGGTGAGAGATAACTGTATTTTAAGAATTAATGGTTCACAAAATAGAAACAGACTCATAGATGCAAAAACAGACTGACAGCTGTCAGAGGGAAGGGGGTTAAGGGGTTGGATGAAAAAGGTGAAGGGTTTAAGTGGGACAGGGCAGGGGGAGTGGGAAACAACAACTCATATACACAGGCAACAGTATGGTGGTTACTGAAGGGAAAGGGGGTGGGTAGAGGGTAGAGGGGGCCATAAATGGGGACTGAAGGAGACTCGACTTTGGGTGGCGAACACACAGTACAACACACAGATGATGTATTACAGAATTGTACACTTGAAACCTATGTAGTTTTATGCCACCCCAATAAATTCAATAAATTTATTTTAAATAATGGTTTCACATCAGTATTTCCAATTAAATTTTAACATCATTGTGTTTTAAAGTAGGTACTTGATTTTATAATTGTATCTTTTCTCTTATACTGAAAATCTTGACCACCAATAACTTTGCTATCTTACAACATAAGGAAAATAATTTTGTTTTACCTTACAGTATAAAGACAATAACAGTATCAATATTGCTACTGATAATAAAATCAAATGAAGTTTAATTTTTGTGATTTTTGTAGCATAGGTTGATTTTAATGAAAGAATAAATTTAATTACTTTTTTGTTGATCTCATTTAATTACTTTCCTTTGAAATATGTATTTTGGTTTTTTCATAGATCGATCATTTTGGATTTAAGACTGATAAAACTTTTAATCAGCGGTACCTAATAGCAAATCAACACTGGAAGAAAGAGGGTGGATCGATACTTTTCTACACTGGTAATGAAGGGGACATTATCTGGTTTTGCAACAATACGGTATGTGCAGATTTGTGAAGTTCCTGTGCTCTATTTATCATGATAAACTGGAAAAATATTTTGCAGTATATATGACCAAGTATTACTGTACTTAATTGTGAAGTTCTTTAAAAAATAAGAAGATAAACTCAATACAAAAACAGCAAAAGAACATGAATAGGCAGTTCACAAAAGAGTAAATACAGATATCCAATAGCCTACATATTAAGCCTTAGAGAATTACACACAAAAAGAATGAAATTCTATATTTGGACAGTTGAGCTTTAAAAGATTTTTTTTTGAAATCTCAGCTTCTTTCTTGGATGAACAAAAGATATAAGGAAAATGGTAATAAAAATGTTATGACATGTAATTATTTTATTTATATTGTGGTCTCCAGAATGTAAGTACAAAGGCACAAATTTTTGTATATTTGTTCAGTATTGGGTACTTAGGATCCAGGACCACTAGGCATATAGTAGGTGCTCAATGAATATTCATTAAATGAATGAGTGCATACAACCTGATCAAAACAAATAAAAATACAAGCTTAATTGTTACATAGGAATGTACAAAGGTAAAGTTGGAGCTATATTTTAATTTAGCTTTACTATTTTACCATTTTTCTTATATTTATGGGGGTGAAAAATGGTATAGTTGTTAGCTTGCTTTCCTTACTGTGTTTTCTATTATTTTTTATAATAATATTTAAATCCATTAACAAAACTTAATTTAGAAGGACACATGAAAGGAAGAAATTTTTCTTTTTAATGTGCTAGAGCTATGACAAGAAAATGTCAACTTTCTACCAAAAACCTAATCTGTGAATTACCTTAAAGTGGAGACCAAATGGTATTTTCTCCACTGCCATTGTCTGGCATGGTGCCTGATATTCAGGAGTTCTCAGTAACTGTTGAACTGAACTGAATTGAAAGCAAAGATACGAACCAAATTATACTGTGTTATTGCACACACATGTCTGATTATTTCCTGAGGGATGTTAAGAGTCTAAATATGTTACTTGAAATAAAATAATTCCCTGAGAAATGAGATGCTAGGATGTCTATTTCTCTTAGATCAGAGACAAATGAAATTGGAACTTATTTTCTGTCAGATTCCTTCTCTGGTATTTTGTGAAACAACCGAGTTTGCCTCGTCTCCCTTTCTTTTTCTTGTGTGACTTCCCTCTTATGCCAAGGCCACAGGGCAGCTGCTCTGCCTCTCCCAGCCACCACTGCCCTCAGTTACACTGTGGTATAACAAGGCTTGCTGGAGAATCGCTGACCTTAGAAGTGGTAGAAAGGAATAGTTCCAGAGAACTGACTAGAGCCAGATCCTAGAAAGATAGATCCTGGTTCTTTCCCAGTCCTAAACACCTTCCTTTGCTTACCAAAATGTCCCAGCTGTGTATTCACATATTCTGGACATTCACTTATTTACAGACAGTATATCATAGTAGTCAAGAGTGCAGACTTTAGCCAGACTGATAAGGTTTGAATTTTGATTTTGCCACTATGTTGTGTGACTTTGGGTGAGTTTCTTATTCTCAGTGCCTCAGTTTTCTTATCTGTTAAATGGGTATGGTAATAATGTCTGTAGAGTTATTGTGAGGATTAAATAAGAATCAGGCTCTTAGAGCAATGCTGACACATAATTTTATTAAATGTTACTATGTTACATGGACCTCTTTTGAAAAATAAAAATACCCCTGAAGTGGAGGCAAATAATCACTTATTACAATGTGAATCAGTTCAATTCAATTGCTTCCTCTCAAAGCCAGGGGTCAACTCCACAGAGGCCTGGCTGTTTTGATGGATGGTCCATACCCTTAAGAAGTGCATAGTCTGGTAGGGTAAGACACACGTGTAAGCAAATATTGTAATCCAGTAATAGAGATCTATACCTAGCATAGTGGTGTTGAGAGGAGGGAGTGATCAGCACTACCAGGGTGTGAAAAGCAGAGGTTGGCATACTTGAGCTGGGTGTTACAGGATCTATAACTAAATGGCAGGGAATGAGCAGGGTGTTAAGAGGAAAAGTGGGGTCATTGAAATCATCACAGATATCAGGTTAAATTATCCATCCTCACATACATATAGCTCTTTTAATTGTCATTTATTGATCAAAACAAATAAAAACTTTTAGAGGTTCTTAGTCCTTGTTAGCGAGCAGCAGCTCATTAAAAAGCAAAAATCTGTCCAGCCAGCAGGGCTCAGTGGTTGAGCGTTGACATACGACCCAGGAGATCACGGTTCAGTTACCGATCAGGGCACATGCCCAGGTTGTGGGCTCCATCCCCAGTAGGGCATGCAGGAGATAGCCAATCGATGACTCTCTCGTATCATTGATGCTTCTCTCTCTCTCTCCCTCTCCCTTCCTCTCTCTGAAATCAATAAAAACATTAAAAAAACAAAACCAAAATCTGCAGTAGGAATGACAAATAGTTTTAATGTATGCTAAATCTAAATCTAATCTATTGACGTTGGCTGCCTACACTGCTTTGCTGAGAAGGATTCTGAGAACACCACTAATATAAGTGAAAAATTGCAGTGATCGATTAAGGAACAGCATTATGTGTGGAAGTAAGAATGTCTTACAATACTTGATGTTTATGCTTTGGAGTCAGACAGCCTACATTTGAATGTTGGTGCTGCCACTTTCTAGCTTTGTGACCGTGGCAGGTTATTTAAATTCTTGTGCCTCAGTGACCTTGTCTGTAAAATGGTAATAATCAAAATGCATATCTCTTAGATTGTTGTGAAAATTAAGTGAATTGATACATATAATGTGTTTAGAACGGTGCCTGACACATTGTAAGCACTCACTTAATGTTAGCTATTGCTAGTTACTATTTATTTTCAAGTAAATAAGGTTAATATAAAACCCAAGTGAGTCCAACAGTACAAATATATTTATTTGTACTATTTTCTCTTTTATGTTGTAAATGTCTATGAGTAGGCAGTGAACTTAGGTATCTTCAGCTTTTTCTTAGACTATTTGGTACACAGTACAATTTGAAGACTATTTTAGGCATAATATTGATTCTATGGCTAGAGTGTCAGAATAAGGAAAGTTGGAATGAGTCGTGGTTGAGCAACCTGGGCTGATTTTTAATTATTTCACTTTAATATAGTGTGAGATTGTTGTGCAACAGTGAAATAGCAATTATATAATTTATCTGTGGAACAGATATTAATTATGTGGTTTTCAGAGAGCTGCTTTTTTTGGTCTGATTTAACATCTGTTTTATATGAGTTGCAAAAAGGTTTAATGATTTTTTTCATATCCTGATTTTATCTTCTGAATTTGTAAATTCTTTCTAGGGGTTCATGTGGGATGTTGCTGAGGAACTGAAAGCTATGTTGGTGTTTGCTGAACATAGATACTATGGAGAGTCTCTACCCTATGGTGCCAACTCATTCAAGGTAAGTATACTTTTTATTTTTGAGTTTGAAAGTTTTTTAAATTTTAGAACATTTTCTAATTGTAGTCCCACTGTAGGAAAGAAATGATAGCTTTAACTTGAACTGCCTGAAATTTCAATAATTTCTATTTAATCTTTCAATTTTATATATAATTTGAACAGATTGACACTCTTTAAAACCATATTATTATAATTTCTAATGTTCTTTAACTCAGTGTGATGAAGCTAGCCTTCCCTAGGCAAACCTTAATCTATGGCTGCAGAGACTGTGGAGGGAACTCTGAGTTAGATGAACTTGGGGTCAGTTGTTTTTTCTCGGCTGCCTGTTTTGAAAGTTTTTTATTTCTATTCTTAGAGGTTTTATTATCTTGTATTATAAATAAATAAAAAGTCGTTGTGTTATAAATGAAAAGCAGAACAATTTGTTGGTCTGCATGGGAAACTATATTTTAGCTTATTGTTTTGCATAATTATCTGATTAGGGGAGTTTACAGGTCCTGAAACCACTGGGAAGTTGTCAGCTTGTTATAGGTCAAAACATAACCTCCTCTCTTAGGTCTCTGTGGTTCCTACTTTGTTAGCAAAATGGAGCTAAGGGCTCTCTTTAATATATTTTTTCTCTTGTGTGCTTACAGAATTTGTCAGTTGCCTGCAGGATATTACAAATATTATTTGTAATATTTTTTCCAAGGACTGGGAAAAAAATTTATACAAACATACATAGTGCCATGAATGCAGAGTGAAGAATAGTGACAGACAATGAGAGGGGAGGTGAGAAGTCAGAAGGCTAAAGGAATGGGTAGAATACATAGGAAAGATGGGAATTATGTGATTCTGAATGTGCCAAATGATGGAAGGAGTCAGAATGGTGAGCCCAAAGCATGAAGGTCAAATAGGATAGCATAATGTAGATATACAACTATTTCAATTATCTATTGCTATGGACCAATTTACCTCAAACCTTAGTGGCTTAAAACAACAATAAACTTTTGTTATCTCACAGTTCCTGTGGGGAAGAAATTAAGAGTTAAGGGTTCTGTTTCAGGAGGGTCTCATGAAGTTAAGATGTCAGTTGGTGCTGTAGTCATCTGAAGGCTTGATTGGGGCTGGAGGTCCCTCTCCAATCTTGGAGGATCCACCTAAGTGACAAACTGGTACTGGATGCTAGCAGGAGGCTTCAGTTTGTCTCCCCCTGGGTTTCTCCAAAGGCCTGCTTGAGTGGCCTCATGATATGACAGCTAGCTTCTCTCAAAGTTGACAATGCAAGAGAGCAGGGTGAAACTACAGTGCTTTTTATGACTCAACATTGGAAGTCACGTATTCTGTCACATTCTATTTGTGAGAAGCAAGTCACTAAGTCCAGCCCAAGTTCAAAGGAAGAGGAATTAGGCTTTACCTTTTAAAGGGAGACACTTCATTTGTCTCCCTAGCTTAGCAAGACTCTGTTTAAGCTTTACCTCCCTTCATTGCAGTGAGAAAATTGTCCCTAGGCAGAGAGCTATATGATTGATCTTGGAACTTACTTCATGAGTATCCTTCTCTGAAGTGTCAATGTCTTGTGTTGCTATTTTCCAATGCCTGAAAAAGTTGCTCCATAGGTTTTTGGGGTTATTTTTTTACTCTAATTTTATAGTTGTTTAGAACAGGCAAACTAATTTGTTTCAGTTGTTGGTATATCAGACATAATTTTTCTGATAAAGAAGGATGAATGTTATTTTTACTAATGATTCTTCAGTTTTCCACAGGATTTAGTTTTACCTTTGCCTATGTGGTACCCATTTTAAATATTTGAAGATTTGAAATAAAAGTTAGAGTACAGCAATTGTCTGTTATTGTATTGTATTGTATTCCATCACATTTGCTGTTAGATGTTATTTGTGGTTTATTTCTATTGTTTCTACAACCTTAACAAAGTCTTTGGTAAATAGCATTTAATAGAAATTATATTTGAATGCAAAATACATTATGTTCTTTCCACAAACTTAAAATCATTTTAAATCAGCATTGCTATGGCTTTGACTAGGCATTTTAACTCAATTGCCTAGAAATTCTATTTGGAGAAAAGCTTATCTGACTCTGGCTTTTTTCTGGATCTGTGCTATGCCTAAGCTGCTATTATGTGCACATTTATACCCATGTTCTTTGTTATTTTTCTTTAGGATTCCAGACACTTGAATTATCTGACATCAGAACAAGCTCTAGCTGATTATGCAGAGTTAATCAGACACTTGAAAGTGACAATCCCAGGAGCTGAAAATCAACCTTTCATTGCTGTGGGGGGCTCTTATGGTGGCGTGCTTGCAGCTTGGTTCAGGATGAAATATCCTCATTTTGTGGTTGGGTAAATGCATTTCTGTTGGACACTAGCACTTCTTAATGATTGTCAAGGCAAACTTAGGAATTTGTTCTGGGTAAAACATGTACCATTCTGTTGTACATGTACTGAGATTTCTAGTTTCCATCTCATTTACTGTGGTTATTTTTCTCACCATTTTTGTTTCAATATCAGTTTCAATTTTAAAACTTGAATTCAGCCCTGCTGGAGTGGCTCAGTTGATTGAGTGTCATCCAGTGCACAGAAAGGTTGCCAGTTAGGTTTCTGGTCAGAGTACATACCTGGGTTGAGGGTTTGATCCCCAGTCCGGGAGCATGTGGAAGGCAACATTGAACATTGATGTTTCTCTCTTGCTCTCTCTCTCCCCCTTCCTCTCCCTAAGCATGTCCTTGGGTGGGGATTAAAAACAAAACAAACAAAAACTTAAATTTGCTGAGTTACATTTTTCCCCCCTTTTCTCCTTCTTTGTTTTATTACCGTTTAGAGCTCTTGCAGCCTCTGCCCCTATCTGGCAGTTTGAGGATATGGTACCTTGTGGTGTGTTTATGGAAATTGTAACTACAGATTTTAGGAGAAGTGGCCCAAATTGTCCAGAGACCATCCGCAGGTCCTGGGAGGCCATTAATCGACTCACAAGAAATGGTAAGCTTTAATTAAGAGAATGGAATCATGATTTTTTTAACCTTTCACTTGTTAAATTCAACATTTCCCACTTTTTCTATAAATTTTTTATTTAAGTATAACATACATATTTAAATATAACATACATAAAAGCACAGAAATCAAAGTAATAGCTTGATGAATTTTCACAAAGCAAGTATGTAGTGTAATCAGCATCTAGATAAAAAAATCCCCCCAGAAGTCCCCTTGTGCCCTTTCCAGTCACTACCTCAGCATTTCCCAGGCTAACCACTATCCTGGCTTGTAAAACCACAGATTAATTTTGCTTGCTCTTGAATTATTTAGTCATTGGAATTGCATAGTATGTATTTTTTGTGTCTGCTTTTGTCAATGCTGTGTTTGTCAGACATCCATTTGTTTTATTTAGTTGTAGTTTGTCCCTTCTCATTGCTCTATATTGTTCCACATGTTTACTTATTTATTTCAATAGTATCTTTAAAACGGAATAATTCAGAATACAAATTCTGGTAATCTCCATATGGATAGGCAATTTGTCTATCATGGGATTATCCAGTTGCTCTGAAAATATCTTATGGATGTTGAAAAAGTATTCTTGGAGAAATTGTATAGAAGATTGAATTTTCTAAAATATCAGGTGATGAATCTATAAAACCTTATGTTGAACAGTGTTTTTTAGATTTCAACATTGTAATTTTATTCTCAGGTACTGGCTTGCATTTGCTTTCTGAAGCCCTTCACTTATGTGTGCCATTAACAAATTCTCAGGACGTTCAGCATTTGAAAGATTGGATCTCTGAAACCTGGGTAAATCTGGCGATGGTGGACTACCCTTACGAGTCTAACTTTTTACAGCCTTTGCCTGCTTGGCCAGTCAAGGTAACAGGAAAATGTCCTTTCATCACTTCCAGTAACATACTTTCCATTTCTGTGTTTGTTCATTCTATGACTTTCAGCATCAGAGGAAATCCCAGTGACAAAGGGGCTCTGGAGTTAGTCAGATCTGGGCAAGAATCCTGGCTTCTGTCACTTTTTGGTTACTCAGCCTGGGACATGTTACCTAACTTTTCTGAACCTCAGATTCTTCATTTGAATAATGGAGATAAAATGCAGAGCTTACAGAGTTGTATGAATTAGAAATGAGGCCAATAGTTGCTGTTAATGGAATAATTACTGTGTGTCAAGTCCTGTGCTATGCACTTTGTGAATTCAATTTATTTAATCTTTGTGATGTATGTGAGACTCTTAGAGCTATGTATGAGTGGCAGCTGCTATCATAGCATTATGATTCAGTGAACTGCTTATATATTCTAAGTGCTACATATGTCCTAAAGGGGTGATCCACATGCAGCAAGGTGGAGTGGAAAGAGCACTGACTCTGGATCCTTGGTCCAGAGCTACCACTTACCAACTGTGTGATCTGGACAAGGCTGTCTTCCTCTGCAGAACGGGATAGTGATATTTATGTTCTCCATAGGGTTGCACTGAGGATCAGATAAAATATTGATGTGAAAACACTCTGGAAAGTGTAGAGACACCTTACACCATAAATTTTAGGCTTTGTTTATACCAAAAATTGTTACTGCATGTGCTCTTAAAAACATTCCGTTGTAAAGAACATTCCTCTTAGTTTTAAAAACAAAGGCTGGCCAACTTGATGGTTATTAAGTTTGGGGAATATGACTGACTCTACAGCTAGAATGAGTGCTGGAAATGTAAATAGAGTTGGTAATATGAGAACCAGGTTTCAAAAGTACTTTTAATATAATTGTCCCTTTGAACTATTGAATGCGAACTATTAGTTTGCTTAAAACTTTGTAACCCAAATGGAACAAGGTCATTTGCTATTAGAGATATTTTTATTTATCTAAAAAGTAGAATGATGGGGGAGAAAAGTAAAATGACGATAAATAAATAAATAATAAAAAGTAGAATGACCAGTGGGTGTCTTGCATATAGCAGGCCAAAGGTAAATGTGTATTGATTTAAATTGAATTTTAATAATACAAAGTTATTTAAAAGAGCAGGTCTCTCTCATGTTAAGAAAGCCTGAATCAAAATAATGAGAAAAACTAAATCTGAACCAATTAGTCTCCATGACTGTGTGCTGATAATGCCTTATTCTTTTATATTATTTTACTATTTACAAAGCACTTTCATATACACTATCTCATTTAATCCCCACAAAAATACTGTGAAAAAAAGTGGTATAATCCCAGTTTTACGGAGCGGAAACTTAAGCTCAACAAAGAGGGTGGTGGATGTGGGATTCAAATCAGGTCTGCCATTGTTCAGAGCCTGCAATCTACCACATTGCGCTGGATTAGAAGGCCTGACTAAAGGTTCGGGTGGATTGCTGGCCACCATGTGACAACTATCAGATTTAATTCTGGACTCTGTATACAAAGTGAGCATTACATCTGCATCTTTATGCCCACCTGAAGAATAAATGAATTGTCACATGGTAAAAACATGGGGAATTCTCTTGTTATTTCGAACAGGGTTTGGCAGACTTTATCTGTTAGGGACTGTGACAATAAATATTTTAGGCTTTGTGGGCCATATAGTTTCTGTCACAGCTACTGAAGTCTGCAGGCGTAGCAAGAAAGTAGCCATAGACAATATATAAATGATGAGGATGATGGTGTTCCAGTGATACTTAGTATTTATAAAACAAGCAATGGGCTGAATTTGCCTGGGGGCTGTGGTTTGCCAACCCTGATTTAGAAAAAATAGCTAGAAAAATACAGGTTTTTAGTGTTTGTTTGTTTATGATTTGGAACAGTGAATAGTCTAACTTTGATTTTCTCCCCATTTCTATACTGTTCCTTTTGAGGTACTTTTCTATTAAGTCTTAAATGTAAATAAATATTCCATTTTCTCTCTCCTTTAAATAATCACTCAAAATGAATGGAGTATATCTCAAATATTTTGTTACCTGTTTTTGATTAACACAATCCTTTGTTATCTTTTGTGTATATACACTACAAAAGTTTATTTCTATCCCACAATCGCTTATTACTTTATTTTATCCAGGACTCGTCATTTTCTTCAGTTGTTTCTTACAGACTTCACCCTTCCTTTTGACATATTAAGGAATTTTTTATTGCTTATGATACATTTATTATTCTCTTTCTTGTCTGTACCCCACCAAAAATAACCATCTCTCTTCTTGCTTGAGAAACTGATTGACTGCGTCTGTCTTCAGTTTCATCCTGATTTCAGAATTTTCCACTACATGTCCCTCTCCCAAACTTTTAGCTTCAGATCACTTTCTTTCACTGTCCATTCTGTTTCTCCTTTCTTGACCCCGCGCTCTGTTCTCCCAGCCCACTAATCCCTGGAGCATTACCCGGCTGGGGACCGCTCTTTCACTTGGCTAGTTCCATTTAGCCAGGACTCCTCCTCCCTCTGATGCACTTCCTCCTTTCTAAAGGGATGACAAACAGCCGTCTTTTCCTTTTTTTCCCTTTAAAACTTCCATCTTATTTTTTCAATTAAACTTATTGGAGACATTGATTAATAAGATTATATAGGTTTCAAGTGTACATGTCTAGGATACATAATCCGTGTATTACATTGTGTGCCCACCACCCAAAGTAAACTCGTCTTCCATCACCATATATTTGGTCCCCTTCCCTTTGGTAACCCCCACGCTTGTTGTCTGTGTCTGTGAGTTTCAGGTTTGTATCCCACTCAGGCTTAGGATGGCGAGATAATAAGCAACAGTGTGTTACGGAAAAAGCAGGTGATTTCCAGTTCTGCCTGGACCTCGTGCGGTTCTGAAGGGTCCATAGGCAGCGACTGAATGCCACTTTCCGTGTCAACTCAAGTATCACTCTTTAATTTGTCTTTGGGCTTTGCACACGTAGACTCCATTTGCTTTGTTTACTGTTAACAGAAGCTGCAACATTCATGCAGAAATACTCATGGACTTGGCTGACAGAACACGAGGAAGAAGAGAAAAGGGAATTAGAAAACCCCTCTGTCATTCGACTGCTCTGTCAGCATAAAACTTCTAGGTCCCGTCTCAGTTTAAAGAGCAGTTTTAAAGGGTGCTACAGTTTGTTTATTTTGGAATCATTTTTCTTTTTAGCTGATAACTTACCAAATCTTTTAGCTTAGCCTTCTGAGCATGCAGATAAATTTTGTGAAATAATAAGACATAAGATGGAAAATCTCTTCCGTTTGTCTTGGTGTTTGATAATGTATGCGACCTCTCTGGGTGGTTTAAGCGGTTTAGGTGCATTCTGTGAAAAGGGAGCTTTTAATGACAAAACTAATGTGATTATCTGAGTGAGTGTGAGAGGGGTATTGAAGCCTTAGAGAATGAAAATCTGTTAGAAAAGCTGAATGTATCTGCTTAATCCGTTCTCTAATGTGGATCGACCATACTCTCTGAGAGGAGATTGGTCTTTTTTTTAAAAAACTATCTTCTTTCCTTCCTCTTTTAAAAAATTTTCTTTGCCCCCTTTTCTTCCTCGAATTCAAATGCTTATCCTCAGAGGTGGGGCACAGTTAAAGCTTTTAAGCAAATCGTTATCTTTACTTTCTCTGGTGTTCATGGGCTCAAAGAGCAGAACCTAAATATTTCGGTGCAGAGCTGATTAGTTTGGTACTAAGGTTAGAATGTTCTATTGTCTCCACAATTTCTGCACTCTTAAAAACCACAGTTACTAAAATGGACTTCTAATGCTCTTTTAAAGTTTTTCCTGAAAGTTTATCTTTGTTCTAGGAAATAGAAAGTGCATTAAGTCTGTCCATTTCCGTTTTCTTCTTACTTTAGCTTCTAAACTTTTATTTTAAAAGTTTTATAATGCCACAGAATTCCTTCTAAGTTTTTACCTAAAACAAATAAACTTAGTAAAATATTAAGACAATCTAAGAATATAAGAAATTTGTATAAAAATTGAGCATGAAAATAGTCATGGGGATGTAAAGTACAGCATAGGGAATATAGTCAATAATATCGTTAATAACTCTATATGGTGCCAGGTGAGTACTAGACTTATTGGGGGGAATCATTTACTAAATTTTATAAATATCTAACCACTATGCTGTATACCTGAAACTAATATTGAATGTCAACTGTAATTGACAAATAAAAATAAATAAGCATGAGATTAGAGGTATATTTAGGCATTGTTTGTGTTATTTGTCTCATACACTATAACTTCAAAGTTGAGTATGTGTAGTGTAGTAGTTACAGATGGAAGCTTCAGAGTGAGTTTGTATTTGAATCCCAGCTCTGCCACTTCCTGACTGTGGCTTTTGGCAGTTCTCTTAACCACTGTGTGTTTCAGTTTCCTCATCTGCAAAATGGGGATAATAGTAATTGTAATGCTTTTTAGGGTCATTATGAGGATTTAATAGGACCAGGTGTACAGTAAGCACTAAGTCAATGCTAGTTACAGAATAACAATAACTATTATTGTTACCACATAATATCAGGGAGACAGATTGTTATACCAGGACTTTGTGGCCAAAGTTTTTAAGTTCTGAGCTTGTTTCTTCCTCTGTGAAATGGGGACTGTCATTATATGTTTCTCCCTGGGTCATTGTAGGGAAAGTACCTTATCTCCAGGAACATTCATTAGATGTCCTAGCAGCCTCAGCCCCAGCTGCCCCCATATCAGTGATTGTATGGCCTCATGCAGTACCTCATGTAGAAATTGTTTAAAAGACGCCATTTATTAGTGTCCACAAAATAAACGGAAAATGGAGTACAGGGGCTACCTTGGTGTTGAGTATTTTATTTATATTTATTTATTTAAAAAATATTTTTATTGGTTTCAGAGAGAGGAAGGGAGAGAGAGATAGAAACATCAATGATGAGAGAGTCACTGATCGGCTGTTTCCTGTGCGCCCCCTTCTGGGGATTGAGCGCACAACCCGGGCATGTGCTCTGACCGGGAATCAAACTGTGATCTCCTGGATCATAGATTGATGTTTAACCACTGAGCCACGCCGGCTGGGCAGTATTGGGTATTTTAGATAGAAGTGGTTGGCAGAGGAACTCTTTCCTTGTTGTCTGATTATATCACAGCCCCAACTAAACAATCCACAGACTAAGTGATTGCCTTCATCAAGTGGATAATATCTGCAAATTACCAGTCTTAAGCTGAAGTATTACATGAGGTTGAACCAAATATGCCAATATTTGACTCTGTTTGACTTATAAACATGGCAATTTCATAGGGTTCATCTTAACATTTACATAAGTGTTTTGTGCATCCTACAGATCTTTAATACAAGTATATGAACTACTACAGTCTAAATAAGTATAGGACTAGTGCTGAGGTTTTGCTGGTATGACTTCTGTATTTTTTAGAAAGCTTTATTTACTCTTTGCTACCAAAATGGTTAAGGAAATGCATAGAGATATGTAGAGATTTTTGTTTTTTATGCTAGAGGATAATGCTTACACTTATAGTCTCTTTGAGTTAGAAAGGAACTTTTGAACCACCTAAAATAACAAAATTCCATTAGTAAATTTGTAAATATTTTGCAAAAAAATTTAAGTGATATTTTTCTAGCCTTCTCCTAGCATTTAGTAGAATTATAAATGGGAACTTTCTATAAGGCAATTTGATAGGATGTTGCAAAGGCTTAAAAATGTTTCTTTCTTTGAATCATTACTTCTAAGAATTTATCTCAAGAAAACAATTAAAGGAGCCTGGCCAATGTGGCTCAGTGGTTAGAGTGTTGTCCGGTGCATGGAAGGGTCACAGGTTCGATCCCCAGCCTGATCAGGATGCATGCAGGTCGCAACCAGTCGATGTGCCTCTTTTACATCGATGTTTCTCTCTCCCCCTCCCTCCCTTTTACGCTTTCTAAAAGTCAATTGAAAAAATATCCTTGGGTGAGGGTTAACAAAAACAAAACAATTAAGGATATATATAAACATTTAGCTCCAAGTTTATTTATTATGGCCTTATTTGTAATAATGAAAGATTGAGAATTATATAAATGACCAATTGTAGGATTTCTTCAACTATTCCTCAACTCCCCATCCTGATTGCTCCCTTCTGGATTTTCTCATGTTGGTCAGTGTCCTTCTTAAAGTGTAGTGCTCAGAACTGGACAAGATACTCCAAGGGTGCTCTGACCTCACAGAGGACAACTGGCCAAAGGCTTGCCCTTAATCTGGACCTGGAATTTCTATCATCAGAGGCCAAGTTTCTGACCATGATCTTCTTTCTCTTTGTGTAACTGGCGCTGCTGAAACCCCAAGTATTGTCAACTGGTGCCAGTCCCCAGCCATGCTTGTGTCTTTTAAGGAGCAACAGTAACTGCTATTTGCAGAGATGGCTATTCATCAGGACTCTCTTTCTTCGCCTGACAGAGGCTCAGTGTTCTAGTGCTGAGAGGGGATCTGATGCCAACATGTGAGTCACACTCACTTGCTACTGTTCTTTTCCAGAGTTTGAGGCCACTTGCTGCTGCACATCAGCACCCCGTGTTTCCTCTGCCCAGCTTGCATTGTCACCCTGCCTCATCTACCATGCTGTGCTTGACCATAATGCTCTTCTCTGCCTTCCATGTGTCTACTCTGTAGTTTTGTGTTGCATTTTGAAAGAGCTGAATACACTGCTGGTGTCCACATACAGGAAAGAATGCTGATCAATGGTTGGGAATAGGTCATTTAATAAATTCTGTGATTGGTTCTTGATTTCCATATTTTCTTGGTTATTTCTGATTGGCATATTTCTTAGGAACATTTTCTGAGAAAAGTGCTATATAATTAGGTATTTTTTGACTTGCTATGAATAATTGAGAGTTGCCAGAATAGTAAAACATTATTTTGCCTTTTTTCTTCAACTTGCATTTCCTCATTGCTTTAGGTTTGGTAGATTTGTGAGGCTCTCAGTTTAGCACAATTCTGTTTCTTTATGTACACCCTAAACCCTATTGTCTGGCCTTAGAGTTCCTTTTTTAAGGTATATCCAGTTATTTGGACATCTTACTTTCTGACTTTTCTCACACTCAATATTTCCAAAAACGTATTGGGAATAGCGCACATTCTGCCACCCTTTTGGCAAGTCACATTGCAGTTGAGCATGTTACAGGCTCCAAAAAATCCTAGTCAAGACAGCCATTCACATTTGCTAATACATTTCCTAAAATTGACTATGAAACAAACCTTCCCCGCCCCCCCCCAAAGTATTATTTAACATTACATAGAAATATTGTGCTGAATACATTTGGGGAGAGGCATTTAATTTTTTCTGATTCATTTTCTGTCTTTTTAAGTTTCCCTTTTTTTCCCAGGAAAGTGTTGCTGGAAGCTGGTCCTAGAGGCTGTGTTTGCTTGCAGCCACTTCCCTCCTTTCTCAGTGTCCTTTCCTGACTGGGAGCATATGCCAGCCCAGGCCTTCTTGTTCCTGCTGCCCAGAATCTTGCTCTAAAGTGGGGTAACTGAGTTCTTTTTTTCTAGGCTGCTTCTTTTCTGGATTCATCTCTTTTTTGGTCAGAACTTGGCTGTTACGTAGATCTTTTCCATATGAAATGAAAAGAATCAGATCACTGAATTCATGTGAAGGTGTTAGTAGAGGATGGAAACTTAATTTGTTTTCCTTGTAGCTATTTGCAGTTTTCCAGGGGATACAACCTACGCTGTTGTAGCATAATGGATAAGATATATGTTTTATAACCAGAGAGACCTGGTGTGGAATCTAGGGCCTACCATTTACTAGCTGGATGCTCTTGAATAAAGTGATTTAAACTAAGAATCAGTTTCTTCGTGTAAAACAGGGGACGATAACACATCTGGAGGATTGTTTGAGGAGTAGTAATCACTAGCTGTTGTTATTCAGCTATGATTCCATTGCCTGTGATTTCCCCCAACATTTTATTGTGAAAAATTTCCAACACAGAAAAGTTGAAGTTTTAATTGGACAGTGAACACCCACCCATAAACCTACCACTAAATTGTAGAAATAATATTTTGCTATATTTGATATACCATATATATATATATATATATATATATATATATATATAT